CACCACCCAGGTTACCCGGCGCAAACCATCCTTCCCGGCCCCTCCTCCCTCTCTTACCCCTTTACCTAAAGCCCTCCCCCCCTCCCTCCTCCCCCCAACCCCACCTCGACCCACCTGACCTCCCAGCCGTTCTTCTCCAGCACTTGACCCACCATCGCCACCTGCCCCAGAAGCTGCTTGCTGTTGGTGCACTGGTCGCCCACGTCGATAACCTGTGCATCATGAGGGGGGGGGGAAGGCGAACCAGGAGCAAGTGAAGCTGCTGCCAAGGGAAGTGGGAGGAGGGGAGGAGGGGGAAGAGCCGTTAGAAAACACATCAGGTTGACCTGCCCCTTCCGCACAGCCGCCCCAAACCGACGTATGCACATATACACAGTGCATCGTTTCCCCTCTCCCTCCCCCCACCCCCCCACTCACCTGCAGGGCCACATACCGCTCGGGTCCCGCCTTGAGCGCAATGTCAATGAGCGCCAGTCCGTCCCCTGTGGGCCGCCGCTTGTCGTACGTCACCTGTGTACGACGGTCACGTCAGTCGTCAGTGCCGTCTAGTCGGCCACAGTCAGCTGCTACATACACACCGTCGACTCCCCGCCGTAACGGCCTCACGTAGCCACCACGATATCACAAGACATACATATAGATATACATACCTGTTAACAAACATTACTATCCCGTCATTTTCCCCCCAACCCCACCTTGAGGATATCCAGGATGCGAGCCACCTGGTCAACCCGCCGACCTCGCCTGCACATATGTACGACGATAACGGCAACGTGTTGTCGTACAAGTCATTTACGATTGCAGTGAACCAACTGCGCCGCCCTGGCAACAAAACAGCTGCGAACCCCCCGCCCCCCGCCTCTCGAAAGCGACCTGGTCACGTGAGACCCTCTACCTGCCCAACCCCCCTCCCAAGCCCCCTCCGACCCACCAGGCCCCCAGCCACCCACCCCCGCCAGCTGCTAGCGCTGCCGCGCTCACACGGCCCCCGCTGCCGCTCTCTCGCCCGCCACCCTCACCCCAGC